GTTGCTGTTATTTTGGAGTTTTCATGTAACAGAATATAGATAAAATAATTATATAGATAATTAGAACCATGGAAGTTTCTAGAATTGAGATTAAGTTAGTGAACTAAATAGGATCCATTGTGGAATATTCTAGAGAAGATTTAGGACGGTTACTTAAGTAGGGCCTATCATATAACATTTTAAAAAGGCTTAGGGCAGTTATCTAAGTGGAGCCCATTGTAGAATCTTTTTAGAAAAAGATTTTAAGGTAGTTTGTCTAAATAGAGTCCACCATTTACGAACATTCTAGAAGATCTAAGATGATAGGATAAGATATAAATAGGACTAGCCAGGGCCTTTTGGAGCATCTCGTTAGATATGGCTTTGGACCTTTTCTCTTAATAAATTTTGGTTTTGCATCTTTTTGTTTAGATTTGTTCTGTTATGTTTTTGTTTGCTTAGTTTTGCCTTTTATGTCTTATTGTGTTTAGTTCCTTTTAGTTTTGTTTTGATCTGTTTTGTCCTATTTTGTAATAAGGCCTTGTGTTGTTGTAGATTAGAAGGATCTTGGATTTTTGAGATAGTCTAGTCCTATTTCACTTATAGCTTTTTAAGTATATGACATTAGATTAGAGCCAAAATTTAAATTTTTAAGAAGAATTAAATTTAAGGCCCTTGTTGGCTTTTTGACTAATTATTATTTTTGAAATATAATAAAAATCATAGATTAAAAAAAATTATAATCTTTGAAGGAATTTAACTTGTGTACGTAACTTGATGCATAAATAAATTTCTTATTTTTGAATTTAATCCTTTGCTTTCATCTATATATGTCAATTGCTATAAGTCCTTATTTTGTCTTATGTGGCTTTCTGTCACATTAATATGTATGCAATTGACCTTGCAAGTTTTGTATATATTTAAAGTGAAAGCTATAAATTTAGATTTGTGAAGTTGGTTGTTAGATCCAAATATTTCACCAGCTCATAAATCAATGTATCTTTGTGAATATAGACTAAACATCACTTTAAAATAACAATTGAAGTGATTTATTAGTGTTTGATGTCTTTTTAGGTACAAATCAATGAATTGATGATTATGTATGGTAATTTTTGATTTAGCATAGTAGGTTGTGGCTAGAAAATAATTCAATAACTACTATTAATTATAAGACAAATGATGATATGTAGAATAGTAGACATACAAATTACATTATATTTTAAGTTTTTAGATGTCTTGCATATGTTCATGCTTTGTAGAATAAGATATCAAAGTTAGATCCAAAGGCTAAAAAGTGTATGTTTTGTAATATTAGAAAAATATTAAAGTATAAAAATTATAAAATATTAGTAGACATAGCATGGTTGTTAGTAGAAATATGATTTTTGACAAATTTTCTATATATATAAAATTAATTTTGAAATAAAATCTAAGAAATATATATCTTTTATTGAATATATTTAATTAGAGCAAGATGGCATGGACAAAATAAACAATGAATTAAAAATATCAATAAGTTATTATATTAAACAAACTCATGTGATTTATGCTCTTATACTTTGTAGATCTGAGAGGACTTGTAAACTACTTAGCAAGTATAGTTTTGTTAGTGTTAGCTCAAAAAATATCACCTATATTTTAATCATAGAAAATGGCAAGCCATCTTGCCATTAGAAGATCTTATAAGATCCAAAACAAAAAGAGTGGCTCAATTATCTAAAGATAATAAGGCAATTGAATGGAGACGGATATTCAAGAAGAATGGTCTCCAAAGATTGGTAGTAATTGCTATAATGCTAGACTTATGGCTAAGAGATAAAGGTTTTATTCTTATTAATACATATATATATATATATATATATATATATTTATACATAATTTTAAAAAAATTATAAATTATATATATTAAATAATTTGATAGTTTAGGTTAGTTGAAATTATTAATAAAATTTGATCTAATTTAAATCATGATTTTTAAAAAAAATTAAATTTCTTTAAAAATAGATTTATGATTCTTTAAATTTAAAATATTTTAATGATTTTATTACTGTAAAAATATACCAATTTTGATCATTATTTTTTTTTTCATATATTTGTGATAGATATTTATGTTACTTAAATGAGTAGAAATAAATAAAAATAGAAATATATTAGTTAGATGATATATTCTTCAAGAGAATTCGAAGAATTTTTTTAAATGAAAATTACAAATTTTAAATTCTTATGTAAATGTCACAAGATTATGACAAGTTTTTTATTTTAAAAAATTCATGTCAAAAGCAACATACAACTTGATGCTTGAGTTGCAATCTTTATTGTTTTTAAAAAAAATTGTAAAATCTTTTCAGTAGCTAACTACTAATATTAAATATTATATTAATTAAATAATAAATTTAAGTAGATCTATTTAAATTAATACGATATATTACTATAAAAGAAAATAAAAAATTACTCTTTATTAGATCTAAGGTTCAAATTTTGGATGTAAATAAGCTTAACTTCTAATTAACTAAAAATATCTCTCTAGATTTCACTTCAATTCAGAGTAGGCTTGTTGATTGTCATAAATTAATATTAGATAGTAGCTTTTCTTATTGGATATTTATTTAGAAGTACCAATTTAAAAAAAAAATACTTTTGCATTAAAATCAACAAATTGTAGCTACAATTCATGTTAAGAGTAATTCCGCAGTAACTACTAGTTTGAATTAGATTATATAGAACTCAACTTTATTAGAAATGGCAAGGAATAAAATTAGCCCAAAATATTAGAAAAAAAAATAGAAATTTAGAAATTAATTTATATTCATAATTGGTTCAAAGAGAGATTTTGTATCATCATCAATAATAATAGTACTTTGACCTTGTACTTATTATTGTACAATGTTCTTTTTTATTTCTATCGTTATTTTTACAATCATTAGTCTTAGTGATTACTTAAACTATTACAATTAATTGCAAGTAGCTAGTTTTATTTTTCTTAGTAATTACATTTTTTTCTAATTTTATTTGATTTAATTGACTTTAAAATATCAATTTGTTAATTAGTTTAGATATTTCTTACTTACCTTATCTTATATAAATCCTATTGGTTTGATTTCTATGTGGTTTGAGTATCTTCAACTTATTTATTATTGCTCAAATTTTATTGGTCTTGATGTCCATATTATACCAATTCTTCTAAATTTCCCTAAGTCAATTTGGTCAATTAATACTAATACATATATAAAAATAAGAATAAGGCCATCTTTTATTGTGCAATATCTTTTCATATTCATATCTTAGATTAAGACTCTTTATTTTTGCATATTTAAAAATAATTGCTATGGTTATTTTCTATCTTACATCTATAAATTATTTATTTATTTTTATTTTTTAATAAATAAATATATTATTTTTTGAATTTTAGTTAGATATATGGCATTTATAATATTTTTTAAAAATATTTTTACTACAAATGTTGGTATAGATATAGTTTATTATAATATACCTAAATTTGTTTTTTTATTCTTTCATTATTATTATAATATTTTAAAATTATTTAAAATTATTCATAATAAGATTGTCTATAAAACAAAAGATTATACTAAAAATATTAAAAATGTTGTAATAATGATTGAAGAAAATTTTATACATTATTCAACTTGGACTTAACTTGGTTTCTATTTCTTTATCATTCAAAGTTAATAATGTATATTTTTAAATTATGTGATTTTGATTTTGTAATAATTAAAATAATATATTTATGATTATAACAATATTATCACTTTATCACAAATCTCCTTTTCAAATTGATTATTTTCAAATATTTGGTTATGAATCCTTGAATCTCTACTTGTTGGTAAATTTCCATGTCTTTTGTATTATAACATGTCATTCATCTTTCAATAGTTTTTCAATCAATAGATAGATGTTCTTGGCTGTATTATCAATGATACAAATTTAATCACAATAGTCCATTCATGATTATGCTTATAATTGTACATTTGAACATATCTATATATATATATATATATATATAGATTGTAGATTGCAAAATTCAATATTTTTTAATGGTTGATTTAACTTATCAAGTTTGTAAATATTTTAATTTAAATTAAATTTATCAATCTATGTGTAATTATTATATTTTTATTAAAATATTTTTTATTTCTCACACTGAAAAACTTAAATATTCAATGAACATAAAAATAAGAATAAAAGCCAATTTAAAATTTTACAATCTCATTTATACTCATAGTTGATATTGTAGCAATCATAAAAGAAATTGTTATTATTTTGATTATATCAAAATGATTATAACTTTTGGTAACAATTGATGTCATCAACTGCACACAACTTTATTCTTGTCCCACCATTATTCCAATGATTGGAAAAAACTTGAATAAGTAATTTATAAAACAAATCGCACATTAACTAGATTACAGTAAAGGAGAGTTTTTGCTGCAGTGGATTTATTTTATTAACGCCTAAACAACGAGTTGATAAGGAACGGTACAAAATGATACATGGATACACATATACAAATTCAATTTTTTCTTGTGTAAATATAAATCCCCTATCAAGTATGTCCAATTATGTGAGTGTGTATGTACATACAGATAACCTTCTACTGATGAAAGGAATTCTCAAAACAACAGAAGCCACATATCAATTGAACCAAGCCTAATGAACCTACCTAACCTATTCATCCAAAATTAATGCTATCTTTTGACTTCAAAGAATACATTTTCCACCTATTTATATATTCAACAATTGATAGTGGATACCAAAATGAATAAATAAATGAAGTTTTATTATGTCCAAAATAAAATTCAGTGCAATATACTTATATATATATATATATATATATTTATGTATCAACCTATATTATTTATTTATATTTACAATGGTTTCTATGAAGGGAATAGGTTGGTTGTGTTACACGCCCCTTTTAATTTACTAAACTCGGGTCATCACTCTGCATTCATAACCACAGTGAACAGAATGACAGTGGCAGCGCGGCCGCGGTGACAGACGTCGCACGCGATGACCGGAAACCGTGGCTCGTCTCGCTCGTCCCAAAACCCTAGCCGAACGCTGGGCCATGTCTTTCCGCTGCGCCAGTGTCTAATTTCTCAGCGCTGAGTCCACTCTCCGTTCGTGTGCCCGTCTCGCAGCCCTGTCTCGTCATCATGGTATGTTCTCGTCGTGTGTTGTGTTTTTCACAACCTTTGCTTTTTTTTTTTTCTTAAAAAAAAAATTCTTACATATTTTCACGGTTGGCTATATTTGTTTTGTAATGGAAGGCTTGGTGTTTTAGGGTTTCGATGGTGGTAGGCTAGTCTGAGGTTCTTGTGTAAATTTCATGCTTGCGGGATTTCATGACAAGCTTGAGTCACAGTGCTTGAGAGGTGACGCTTGCGGTAGCCTATGTTAGGGTTGGTTGAGCAAGGGCATACATCTCATACTGTTTGGTGGTATGTTCCTCACGGTCTAGGGTACTGTGAACTTGAGCGATACGTGCTTGCCTGATGTTGCTGTATATGTTATGCCATTACGGTGGATAGGATTGGTGTCGTTAATCAGCACTCGGCTGTGACAGGTGTCTGCTAGAATCTGATGTCTTAGTAGCGATATTTTTTCCCCAGTATGTACACACACACACACACACACAGATATATATATATATATATATATATATATATATGTGTGTGTGTGTGTGGTTGCGTGCGTTTCTTATATAGTGCTGGTATTGGTTTAATCCGGTTGACTGTCTCTGCTGAAGAGTTTGAGAGAGTTTGCATGTAGCGTTTGTCTCAGTTTTCGTGTGGAATATTGATACCTTTGGACGCAATTCCAGACTAAGCGCACAAAGAAAGCCGGTATCGTTGGAAAGTACGGTACCCGTTATGGTGCTAGTTTGAGGAAGCAGATCAAGAAGATGGAGGTCAGCCAGCACTCGAAGTACTTTTGCGAGTTCTGCGGGAAGGTATAGTACAAATCAATTCTGATTATTTGACTGCTCGGCGTCTGAGTTGTTTATTGTTCGCCGAATAGGATCAACCAGTTTCTATGTATAAGTTCTCTTTCAACCGAACTATTTCACATGAACCATAAACAATATTCCTGCAGCCTACGTAACTTGTGCAGTTAAGTATCATCTGAATTTGATATCAGTTTCTGCTTAGTCTGTGCACCACTATGGATAGTTGTTACTTTCGTAGAGTTTGAATCGTCAAATTTGCATTTTATTTCTTTTCTGATAACCTCCGAAGTACCCTAATTTTCATACACGTGTTGGATGCAGTTTGCAGTGAAGAGGAAAGCTGTTGGCATCTGGAACTGCAAGGACTGCGGTAAGGTTAAAGCCGGAGGCGCCTACACCTTGAAGTAAGCTTCTCTAAATCTCACCAATATTTTTTGTGCTATAGTTTTCTGTATGTGGATCTTCCAATGACAACTGTTTTCAGCATGCCGATCTCTTTATGTTATTTTTTCTAAACAATATTCGAAGACGTAATGAACTGACTTTATTGTGACTGGTGTTGCAGCACGGCAGCTGCAGTTACTGTGCGCAGTACCATCAGGCGATTGAGGGAGGCAACTGAGAGTTAGATGGTGTAGTACTTGTAGAGCCATATCATACTCTTGAAATTTTGATGTATGGCAGCATTGCGTGCCATTTGAGTGTGACACAAGCTCTGATTGAGCCTTTCTTCTGTGTGCTTAGTTCTCCTTGGTGGTTTGTTCATTCTGTGCGTCGAGGAAGAACACACCTACCTTGGTCGACATTCTCCATCTGGTTGTCTGCCAAGATGTTCATCGTTTCATTTTGAAAAGGTATGTCTGCAGAATGAAAATCTTATGCATTGTATGTGAGCAGATTGTGAAAAATTAAGTAAAGCTCTGAAAGATCCAATAATTTTTAAATATTTGCCTTTTTCTTTCTTTTTTTTCTAAAAGAAACCTCTTTTGCTTTATCTAATTGAAGGCCTTAACATGAGGTCAACCAACAGACTTTATTACAGTGTTAAATAGAAAGTCTCTGCACATAGTTTATTAATAAGCCTTACCAATCAATCTAACAAGAGCTGTATTTACCTACCTCATTTGATCTTACAGTATTCTATGTAAAACTAAAATACCATCAATTACATATAGATTCAATTTTTTCCCACATCATAATAAGAATGTTTAATGGTTTTCATGCACTTTTTTGTTGTACCCTTTCTAATACTTTTACAATTTTAAAAAAATCTTTCAATGTCTGAAGATTATTGTATCATTCGTCAACAGCCAAAAATAGTTAAAGAATTTTAAATTCTATAGGTGTATCTTATTCTAATTTATATATAAGATAAAATAGTGATGTTTTTCTTATCACATTGCCAATTGTTGAGAAGCCTACAACACTATTATTATCATTTCTTCTCAATCTTTACAGGAATTCAAAACATTTCATTTAGAATATTGATTGAATTTAATCTACTTATTTAGTATATTTATATCTGTTCATTGGTATCTGATTTGGAACGATTTTACATTAACCAATTCTTAAATTCGCAGTTGAATTTCAGACTGTCATATCAAGAAAATATCGACATACAATTTATATTCAAGACAAGAGCCCATTACTTATTTATATTGTTTGTTTTAGAGAAAATATCATAGATATCCTTGTATTCTTAATAATATCGAACATACCCCACTTTTTGTGATAATTGTAAATCCGCTCCTCAATGTGATAAGCTACATTCTTCACATTCTTTTAGTTGCAAATGGGGCCCAAAGTACGTGTTGTGTACATCTAGTGTAGAACTTTTCTTCATATCTTTAGCACCTCAGAAAACAGACCTCCCCATGATTCACTCACCTTGTGCTACATGCTACTTGTAATGACTGAATTCTCTTATGCACTTCCTTCACATAGAAGGTTGGTCAAGTAGGATCTTATGATGTAGGTTGAGAAACACAACAAAACTTACACAACCACAAACTAGGATTGAATTGCTTCCCATATGAGGCACAACAAAGCATGAATTGCAGCTTGTAAAAGAATTATAATGCAATGCAAAGAGATTGTTTAAAATTATATAGTTATACCATAAGATTGAATAATTTGGCTAGATGCAAACCGCTCTAATACCATTGATGTCTATAGCATACTCATTAAAGGTTTTTACCACCATGCATGTCTTGTACTTGCCAAGGTTATGATGGATTGTAGTAACAAGAGCATTGAAATTGGAATTGTCCCTCAAGGATTATGATGGATTGAAGTAACAAGAGCATTGAGATTGGGATTGTCCCTCAAGGATCATCAGCTTGTATAATGTGTGTAGCAGGCAAGACATTCATCATTCCTACAAATATTTATATTAGAACAACTTCATTACCAAGTACAATGATACCTTGGATATATGTCTTTGAACAAACAATAATAGGTGTTCATAAGCAAAGTTTGCAAATATAATATTGTAAAACAATAAAAATGATCTATACTACAATATAATTTCCATCAAATCTTCAAACACAAAGATATACTCTACAAACAATCTATTTGAATGCACTCAATCATTATAGTTTCTAAGTCAATAATGCATGTTGGGAACAAGTTCTAAAATTCAAAGACATTGCCTATATGTGAAATAAGAAATTATCCTAGCCATATGGATTTGTCTATGCACTCTCTATAGAATTAGTAGAGGCATTCCATAATTATTTCTATTTTCTTTATAATTCCTACAAATAGAACCAACTCAAATTTAACAAAAAAAAAGATAGTTTTTCATAACACATGCTCTCTATTGCATATGCTAAACAACCACCCCAAGCACATATCAGAGGTACTAGCTCTTTTTGACATAAGTTAGGATTTCATGTACCTAAGCCAATTAGACACTGTATTTCTTTACAAATATATAATCAATAAACCCTAATATAACTAATTGTATGATATTGATCAATCTCTTTGCATTGTATTACAATCCCTTTACAAATAGTAGTTAGTACGAGGCAAGCAAACTATGGCAACATCAATTTCGTGAGGTGCTAGAGATATGAAGAAAAGTGCCATGCCAAATTTGCATAGCACGTATTTTTGGTCTCAATTGCAACTAAAAAAACAAGAATATAACTTATCATATTGAAGGACAAATTTACAATTATCACAAAAAAAGAAGATATATTTGATATTATCAATTATATATGGATATTCTTGATATTTTAGCAAATTTTAGGATTATTTATGATATATATATATATATATATATATATATATATTTCTTTTAATATATTTTATTTTTTATTTTTACTAAAAAATATTAATGATAGAAAAGGTATGAAAGAAAAAATCATATAAAGGTAATATCTAGTACATTGTTAGTATGTCTCACAACTTTTTGCACAAAAATACATATGTTTCAATATGTAAATAAAAAAATAATTAAATCTTAGAATATTTTGACTTATCAATTATCTTTAAAAAAATCCTCTACAAGCACTATTATAGTAGGTTTTTAAGATCTATAAATTTCTACTTCTATAATACAATATATTAAAATACCATTCAAATAATTTCAATACAATTTTAGTCTAATAATTTTAAACTATTTATTATTTATTCTAAACTTTTTTCTATTATTTTTTATTTTAAGTGGTTAAATTTTTTTATATATTTAATAATTATATAATATTATGATATCAAATAAATAATATTAATTTCTTAGTTAGTAATTGTTTCTTCATCAATTCATCTTCTATTACTAGTGTAGTTCCTATATCTTTTGGTGACTTCAAAAGACAATCTAATTGGCTATAAATTCTTCCATATACTAAATAACATCCTCAATTTTTTTTAAAAGTACTATCCATTTAAAAATTTGATCACTTAAATTTTTCTTCATCACCAAATATTTTATAATCAAATTCTTTATAAATATATTATTAAATTTCATAATAAGAATTAAAAATATTTATGAATGATAATACCATTTTAAAACATCTTTATTTTGTTACAAAATGCACTCTCTACAAATAGACAATGATACTTAAAAGACAGCTCTTAAAGATCCAATAATATCTCTAGTCAATTTTTTGATCTTGATTTTGTTTTAAGTCTATCATCACACCAAATTGTTTGAAATTATGTTGCTAAGCAAAAATTCATTTTTAATACTAAAATGGTTAATATTTTTTCTTTTTGAAATTGAAACAATGAAATATGTATTCACAATGAACAATGTAGGTAAGACTTGAGGAAACATCTGAATGATATCTATCAATTTGTATTTTTTTTATTCTTAGAAGGAAAATCTACACTACATATATCAATCCAAAATCACTACATGATGGAGTTGTTTGGAATATGGGCCTTGTTCAATCTCTTATATATGATCTAGGAGAGTAGAAATGACATAAGATCTTATCTTTCTAAGATTTTGATTTTTTTAATTATTTAATAAAGTAAAATTATTGTATAATACTTATTAATAAGTTGTAAATTACTCAACTGTACTTCATACGTACAACTCTTGGATTTATGTCATAAATTGAAAAGATTTTTACAAGCTTCAGACACAATTTCACATTTATACATGTCTATAGGTGATTGGTAGGTTAGAAACTTAGCCCACTAGTTAGTTACATATCACACATATTGATAGCTTATAGTACAAGTTAATAATATGATATACATATTGAAAACTTGTCTTACAAGTTAAGACATGCATCTTGCAAATTGGACATATATTAGAGGTCCTTTAGAATATTGTTATGTAGCTTTTAGATAGATAGTATATATAGTATTGAAGAAATAGAACTTTGAAGTCACAATACATAACATAAGCAAAGTTGTACACAAAGAGAGTATGGAGTAAGATATCTCTCATTTCCAACACCCAATACTTATAGGTTGTGGTTGCTGTCCTACAAGATAACTTCCACTCATTGACTTTTATACATAAGATTCTTGTTTCTAGGATCCTTTGGTATCTAACGTACCTCAAGAGTATCCTATGGTCCTTGGATCCTTTAGCATCTTATTAACCACAAAGGTATCCTATGCCAAATACTAATTACTCTTACATAGTTTATGAATATTTCCTAGTTCATATTTTATTTTCTTGACTTTGACTCTTCATCCTTCACCTTATCCTATATCTATAGGATGTCCTTTCTATATACTAGGAGTCAACTCTTTGACCATTAGAAACTTAACTAAGATAATATCCTCTATAATGTAACTTATTTTTTTTTTATTTTTACTTCAATACTCCCACTTTGCTATTGGTCAAAAGACTTTCAATCTTAATGCCTTTGTCAACATGTGGTGCCTATCTTTTACTAATGCCTTCGTCAACAAATCAACAAGCATGTCTTCCGTTGCATAATACTTCATATCAATTACTCCCATTTCAATCTTCTTTCTTATAAAGTGATGTTAAATGTCAATGTGCTTGGTCCCTGAATGATACTTTGGATTCTTTACAAATGTAAGTTATCCTTGGTTGTCACACTTCATTGGATTTGCTTCCATTTGCACATCTTCAATGTCCTCCAAAAGTTGTCTTAGCCATATTGCCTCCATTGTACCATGACTTAATGCCATATACTCTGCCTCCATTGTTGACCTTGCAATTGTTGGTTGTCTTTTATAATTCCATGAAATTGCTCTCACTCTAATAAAGAATACATATCCCGTTGTTGAACTTCTATCATTTGCATCTCCAGTCCAATCTGCATTATAATAACCATGCATATTAATGTTATCACATCCAAAACATAATTTGAAGTTCAAAGTACCTTTTAAATATCTCATGATGGTTGCCCAATGGATTGGTCCAGCCTTTGATATGTGTTGACTCACAACACTCACCGCATATGGAAGATCAACCCTTGTGCCAACCATTGCATATATAAGTGAGCCCACT